CCAAGCAAAAAATAAATAAATAATAATAATTGATTTTTGTTTCTTCTAGAAATTATTTTCAGTTCATTATGAAATTGTTGATATAAAGATATATTCCATTTATATATATATATGGCAAAAATAATTTGTAAAGCGACTATATATAAGTAGGGGTAAAACTGGGCCGGGCTGGCCTACAGGGGCCCACGGCTCGGCCTATATCAGGCCATACTTGACCTAGTATAATTTGTATAATAGGCCGGGCTTGAGCCATAGAAAAGCCTGTTTAATAAAAGATCGTAGGCCCACTTTCAAAAGGTCGGGCCTATAAGCCTATAGGTCGGCCTATATTGTACTATTTATTTTAAATAAAACAAAATAGAATAAGTATGTCTTGAAGAAAAAACAAAAGATATAAATTTAATCAATTGCAATTATTTATAACTTAATTATATTCGATTATATTTTAATAGAAATCTTACTTTATTTCTTATATAAGAGGAATCAACATCTCAACATGTTTGATTGTGTATATGAATATATTAAAAGATTTTTGGGAAATGTTATACTTACTACAAGCATCATGATGTGTTTATTGAATTCATGTAGTTATTTTAATTTACATAGTATGGATTTATTTTTTGGATCTGATGAAATATATATTATTTAGTTTGAGCATTTTGTTTTTGAAAATGAATTAAATGCATATTGTATGAGTTTTGTTATGATTCATGATTCTGTTTGGACGTTGAAATTATTATTTTTGGTGTAGCAACAGAATTTGAGTACTTTGTAAAGTTGATTCACGGATCTGCATGGAAGTTAAAAATTAACAGGCTAACGGGCCAAGCCAGACCATTTATTTTTTTATATACGGACCAAGCCAGGCTAACAGTTAGACTCATACTAGGCTTGGGCCAGGCCAAATTGAAATTTTTTTGACGTAGGCTTGGGCTTTTCGGGACAAAGCTTGGCCCAGCCCAGCCCACTTTCACCCCTATATATAAGGTTGGTGCGGTAAAAAATGTATAACTATATATTCCAAAAAATACATAATTATAAAATTTTAACCGTACCAAACCTTGTATACAATAACTATACATCTGACAAACTCATATATATACGGAAAAATATTTTTCATGTTGCATGATAAGTGTTTTCTCATGTTGTGATCATTTGATTTTTGTGTAAAACAATTCTCATTCTCATGTAACACAAGAAAATCAAAGCAATATATATATATAGGATCCGTTTTTTCTGCCGTTACTGCATATAAGTTATCTGCAGAAAGCCCAATACGACGTCGTTTTGAGACGAAAATCATGGTGTTTTTATAATTTAAATTTATTTCAGGGTTATAATAGTCTTTATATTTATAATTTTTTAAGATTTCAATACCAAAACGACGTCGTTTTAGGAATAAATGCAGATAACTTATCTGCATTAACTACAGAAATATTTTTCCCATATATATATATATATATATAAAGGCTTTAATGTTTATACAATGAATGTAGATTAGTTATTTACATTCATTCCCAAAATGACGTCGTTTTGAGTTGAAAAACTAAAAAATTATAATAAAAAAGACTATTATAACCCTGAAATAAATTATAATTATAAAAATACCTTAATTTTTGCTTCAAAATAATATCATTTTGAATTCAATATAAATAACTTATTTACATTGAACCCCAGAAAAAACAAAGGTTGAGTGTAGTGATAAAGTGATTCATAGTCTTAAGGATCAAAACTAAAGTATAAATTTTTGAAAAAGTAAGGATGCATTTGGTTTGCAATTTTTTATTTTATTTTTACAAACAACTAAAAAAATAATAACTTGTTGTCCCTTTATTTTTTATTTTGATCAAATATTTATACAGGTTTCCTTATTATTTCTTGTACAAATATTTAAAAAATAAAATTAAAAATAAGGTGGTATTTTTGTATTTATTTGTAAAAATAAATATATTTTTTGCAAACTAAACATACTTCTAATTAGTGGGAGGACGTCTTAATTATGATAATGCTCAATTTTACAACAATGTGTGTGCACATATATAATCTATTTCGTTGCATGCTTTTAATAGCTTGTTGGTGTTCCCTAAAGATGAGTTTAATTAAAAAGAAAAAAAATTAAGCCGGTCGAATTCTACAATAGGTATAGCGTTATTCATTCAACTATACAAAAGTAGCATTATTTTTGTTAGTAAGCTACACACACACATGAGAGAATTTTCCTTACTCAAGTTTCAGGGTTTAAATATTGTTAGCCCTCAAGAGGAATTATTGTGGCAAATGCACTAAATTAATGCGGAGTTGCATGCCATTAACATCATGAGAGAAGGACTTAGTCTTAATTAAATTAAAGCTAACCTGATTATATACTCTAACATTGTAACCAAAATAAAATAAAATAAAGCTAACCTGATTATATACTCTTACCATATAATAACAAATGTACACACTTTTTTGAAATGTGTATGATATTATAAATTTAAGTTTTACCCTTTTTTTGATGTCTCAATTTTTAGTTTAATAAATCTCCGTTACAAAAAAATATCATTACTTTTGTCAAAAACTTATTTCAGTATCCCCAACGCTTTGAAAACAATTTTTTGAGTCTATTGTAAATAACTAGACAAGTAATTAGTTACACCTGATTTTTTTTTAAAAAAAAAAACCGGCAAACCTAGTTAGATTCATATATATAGAGATAATCAGGAATGTACATGTGTATTGTATACAATTGCTCGCTAAAATTCATGCAATGTTATCAACTCGATCAATAGTTTTTTCTTTCTTTCTTTTTTAGTGTAAAGGAGCAGTTTATTACCCTCTATAACTAAATTTTCTCCAGCCAAAACTAAATATGATTTGGATACAACTTTATTAGAGAAAGTATGGTTCCCTGAATTTTAAGCCTTTTCTTTGGAAAAAAGAGAGGCTATTTTAATACCTTAAATTTAAGGTTGATCTCGTTAATTAGGGCTCAAAATTAGTTTAGCTTGAGACACAAAAGGTGCGTGGATGACATCCCTTTAACTGAATTACTGAGATTAATTAATCAATAAATTATTTAAATATAATTAAATTGGCTGGGATACTACCTGTTTTTTATTTCCCCCTTTTTTTCTTGAAGTTGACTTGAGCTGAGGTTAGCTCAAAACTTGATCATACTTAATTCAATTTATAATTTGTCATTTTTAAAAATTTATGATCAGTTCGAATCAGACTCACAAACTACTTTAACCAACGCTATACACTCATTTGAAATAAATGGACCAGTATATAACCTATACAGTGATCCATCAATGAAACATTATTTTTTAAGAAAATTTAAATTCAACACGTTATCATTTATTTCGTAACAAGTAATGTTGCACTATAGTAAATAAAAGTGTTAGAGAATAAGAAATTTTGTTATCAGAATTTTCGACCAAATGATTTGACACATATACTGTTTGAGTTTTTAATAGGTGAGTAATTCTTTCTATTTTATCTCATCCACTAATTATCCTTAAATTATTTTTAAAATCTTTATTTCTAATTACATAACGTTACTCTATCTAGTTACTTTGTACCACTCGGTCTAAATTATTGTATTTAATTACACGAAAAGAATACTGTATTTCATGATATATTAATTTAACTTTCTAAAAAAAAAAAGAATACTATCGGCAGGATTGCCTATTGGCACGAGCAATTGGAAATGTGGAAGAGAATCTTTTCTGTCTCTTTTTTTTTTTTAATTATATGGGGTATACTTTTCTCTTGTTTCATAATCATTTAAAAACAACAATCAATGTGTTAATAAAAAATAAATCAATAAGAACAAATAAACTACAACCAAAGGGCATGATTGGAGACAAAAGCAGGGCAAACAACAATTAATGAATATTCCATATGCCATTTAAGAAAAGAAGAAAGCATTTGTAACAATAATTAAAAACTATTTAACTCGCCCAGTTTGGCGCTCCGCCAACAGTATTGTATTATGGTAAGAGCTTTGAGAAATAAATAAATAAATAAAAGAGGGAAGGAGAGGGCGCGTAATTTTGTTTTTTTCTTTCTTACGAGGGAGAAGTCACGGACCCAAACCAAAACAACATGAATTCATTTCTTCATAAGTTAAAAAAAATTTACCAAAAGAGAAAAATGAGGGTGCTCTTATTAACTCTTAAGACTCCATTATTAATGGCTGATCCCATCCCATCCACAAAACAGACCGAACCCACACGCAAGAAACACCCGCGTTCACAACACCAAAATACTTGCAAGTTGAAATAAATCGAAAAGATTTATGATAGCAGAGATTTTCTCTTATTATACAATAACAAATGCATATAAGGCAAAGTATTATAATATCAATAACTATTTTATAGGTACGATATTTGTGATTTTAAATGACATAAGTTATGTCATTTTAAGATAAAGATAAATATAAAAAAATAGAAATCATGAGAGAAAGAAAGTGGATGATTTTTTTTAATTTAAAATTTAAATAAAAAAAAATTATGTGTCTGTCTCTTTCTTTTAATGACATAACCTTATATCATTTAAAATGAGAAACACTTCTCCCTTATTTTATATATATATAATTGTAACAAAAGGGGTGACGTGTGGTTTTTATAAATAAGTGATAAAAGAAAAGGAAGAAGGCGAATAAGCACAAGGAATGAATGAGAATGCGTAGTGAATAGTAAAGAAGTCACGTCAAGAGGGGCCACCATGTGAAAATGTGAATACTGTACAATAATACTCTCTTCCTCTTAAGTTGCCCCCACCAACATAACACTAATAACCCCTCTTTTCTCATTTCTCCCTCTCCTTCCATTCAATTCATTCATCTATGCTTTTTACGTCCCATCACCCCCAATATCTCTCTCTCTCATCTTTTCTCTTTCTTCCTCTTCCTCTCTCTCTCTCTCTCCAAAAAATAAATAAAAACTAACTTAAAATAAACCCTCTTCTCTCCTTCTCAACAAAAAGGATAAAAAAGAAAAGAAAAAAAAGACCATTTTCATTTTTCCCAATCCAACAGCAAGAGATATTAGTGAAAAACTGAACTCGGTTACTTCTGTTGATCATGGACGCTGCATCGGGTGGAGCGGCACCGGCACCCGCACCGGCGAGTGCATCGGAGGCGGAGGGATCTTCAGCTGCGGCGGCGGCTGCTGCAGCTTCGACGGCGCCGCCTAGCCGTTACGAGTCGCAGAAGCGGCGTGACTGGAACACGTTCTTGCAGTACCTTAGGAACCACAAGCCGCCATTGACGTTGGCGCGGTGCAGTGGCGCGCACGTGATCGAGTTCTTGAAGTACCTCGACCAGTTCGGGAAGACTAAGGTTCACATAACAGGGTGCCCTTACTTCGGGCACCCGAACCCGCCATCTCCGTGCGCGTGTCCGCTGAAGCAGGCGTGGGGCAGCCTCGACGCGCTCATCGGAAGGCTGAGAGCGGCGTTCGAGGAAAACGGCGGAAGACCCGACTCGAACCCGTTTGGTGCTCGGGCGGTTAGGATTTACCTGAGAGAAGTTAGGGAAGGACAAGCCAAGGCTCGAGGGATTCCTTATGAGAAGAAGAAGCGGAAGAGAACCGCCGTTACCTCCGCCATGGTGTCAGCTGGGAGTGGTAGTAGTAGTGGAGCTGCTGCTGCTGCTGCCGCCGCTGGCGGTAGTGGTGGCGGTAATAACAGCGGAACTGGTGTTAGTGTAGCTTCTGCCGCTCCTGCTGCACCTGGTGTTACTGTTACTGCTACTACTACTACCGTATAGTATAATTTTAATATTTTGATTTTATTTTATTTTTTTCTTTTTAATGTTATTAACTATCTTTATTTTTAAGGAAATTAATTGTGATTACATATTTATGGCGATTTTTCTTAGATTAAATCGAAACCCTTATTAACCTATAGTCTGACTAGTGTTATGTGTCATTATTCCTGACTAACAGTGAACTCGTAATTCTATTCCTCGATGTGGTGTTTCATTAATTACTAGGTTTCTCTTCTGACATGAAATGCTTGCTTCTCTTTTGTTTTGTGTTTTTTTTTTGGATTATTTTATGCTAAGAACTCGATGCAGCTAGTACTGGTAGAGGCATAAATTATAATCCCTTGTTTAATTTGCTTAACTTCCAGGAACTAACTTGAAGAACAGAAGACTCCAAACAAAGCCTTTCGTTTTCATGTTAATTTCATATATCTGTTTTCTTTATGGGGGTTTGCTTTTGGAGGGAGAGTGAGAGCTCAAACCCTCCTCTCTCTTTTTTTGTTAGATTATATATTCTCACTAGCTAGCTAGCTATAGGTAGCATATTTGTATGATGCCACTAAGGAAACTAGCAAGCACATCGTTCATTTGCTTTCATTATGACATTTCGTTTTTGTCTTGACCTGGTAAAGCTCCAATCACTGGTGGGTGTAGTTGGAAAACAATTCGGTGAAAGTTAGAAAGATAGGAAAATATAAATCACAACTATATCATAATATTATCCTCTCTCTCTCTCTCTGTTGTTTGTCACCCTGCAAAACAGTGTAATTTAAGGAAGGAAATCAAGGAATTGACCTTTCCATTATATTTACAATCATTTTAGTGTGGTGGATAAATCAAATATAATTAAATTGTTTTCTTACTTTTTTAACTTCTCATCCTTGTCTTGTTTTGGATCTGCTGTTTGTAAGAAGGGCAACAACAACACAGAAGGAGTCAATATATAAGGTCTAATCCTTCTTTATATAAAGACTACTACTCTCAGCAACACTGTTCATCTGGTCCCCGGGGCTCAATCTATATATACAAAATATGGTGCACACGTGCGCTTATCATTTACAGCATGTTTTGCGCTTCTGTTTCAGGTGCTCCCTCTTTGCAAGTCCATCTAAGATTTTGTTCTGAAGTTTCAGGACTTTGGCTTAATTTTCTCTTCGTGTTTTGTTTGCTGAGGTAGGTTTTCAGCTTTTTACTCTTTTTTCATCGGCTTCTTCCCTCTTTCTATGCCTTTGCCCTTTTTTTTCTCTCTCTCTCCTAACATACCTATAATTGACATTTCTTTCTGTGATGACAACACCTACAAAAAGATATAGGCTGCAAGCATCAATGAAAAGAAAACTGATCCCTTGTGATTGCTGCTTGTATTTTATTTGGGTAACCACCACCTATGTGCGAAAACGACGGCTAGCCAACCCTTCCTCACATTCGATATATTAATTTATAATTATTCATTTGTACTATCATATATATAACCAAGCTACAATTTAATATGTTTTATTTGTTAATTATTATAGCATAGACCCACCAGCCACTCCTAAACAAAACCACATTTCTGAATTTTAATTTGAAACTTTGGACCCATATCTACTTAAATCATGATTCATCTATAGTACTCATGATAATGTACTGAGAATATTTCTTTGTATTGCTTTTTTGTTTGTTTCTTTTTCTTGCATTAATTTTTTTTCCTTCTCTCCTTGAAGTAAATGTTCATACTTTTGCATAGAAGAGGAACTTTCGCTTTCTGGCCTTTTGTAGAACCACGTAATTTCGTATAGGGCACTTTATTTCTCACTTTCTTTTGTTTTTTTTCTTTATTTTGTACGGTGACCAGCGACCACTTTAACCATTTCGATTTCTAAAAAGTCATAAAGAAAAAAAAAATCATTTATCCCAGCTTTTATTAAAAATAAAAATTAAGATCCGTTTTCTTTCTTACCTCTTTATTCTGCGCTTTTTCTTTCTTCATCTGGAATACTATTTTACTTCTACCGTGTGTGTGTGTGTTTATATGCATTGTCCTTTTTACATAGTTTCTTCTCACATGCTACAGAACGTGGGTCAGGGAGTTCTGAGCACAGTTAAGTGCGAAAGGAGTAAACTCACAAGGTAGATGAGGATGAAGAGTATCCCACTTAGCTTTTGAATTTCTTCCATCTTTTGTCGCCACATAGAATGGCATTCATATCTCCTGTAGTATTTATTCTTTGTCTATCGTATACTTCGTTTATATTAAGATAGTGAGTTAACGGGGTTTTCTGATGAGTGGGAACGGTTTTAGGGTGGGGCTAGTTTTTAACTTTTTATAATTTTCTCAAGGCACCTGCACCTATATCAGTCTTGTTCTTGTCAGAGACAGAGAGTATCTGACACCATATATATATATACATTTATGAGAGAAAGAGAGAGGGTTGGGAGAAGGGCGTTTTCTGGTGTGGGGGGGAACGGTTTTAGTCTTTTTTCACTTGCATCTATATTAATGTTACTCTTGTTTTTGCGTGAGACAATGACCATTTGAACAGCGTATTGACGTATGATTATATATAAATATTGTGTGAGACAATGACCACTTGCATCTGTATATATAATGTTACTTAGGGCGATTATTGACGTATGATTATATATATAAAGTTTATATTTCTCCGGCCGCTTGATATCCATCAATTAATTATTTATCATATATATAGGTGACGACATTAAACGTGAAGAATCATAACCATACAAAAGGTAAAAGTATTAAATGTGGAGAATCATAAGGTTTATATTTCTCCAGCCGCTTGACATCCATCAATCAATTATTTACCATATATATAGGTGACGACATTAAATGTGAAGAATTATAACCATACAAAAGGTAAAAGTATTAAATGTGGATAATCATAATCAGGTAAAAGCAATATTGCTGGACATCATGCAGCTGGAGAAATGATTTTACCTATATATATATATATATATATATATATATATATATATATATATATATATATATATATATATATATATCATGATATGGGTCATGATACAAGTGGATCAATAGTCAAGATTGTGTGTAAGACTTCTAACTCTTACATCGGTGTAAGAATATCCTGCCCCTATACGGGTCAGGATCATTTTACACCAGTGTAAGTTACACTCTTAATCTTGTCCGTTGATCCCACTTATATCTAAGGGCTCTAATTTTTTAGTAATGTGAGTCATTAGATACAAGTGGATCAGTGGTCAAGATTGGGTGTAAGACTTCTAACTCTTACACCAGTGTAAGAATACCCTGCCCCTATATGGGTCAGGATCATTTTACGTCAATGTAAGTTACACTCTTAATCTTGTCTGTTGATCCCATTTATATCTACGGGCTCTAATTTTTTAGTAGTGTAAGTCATTAGATACAAATGGATCAATGGTCAAGATTGAGTGTAAGACTTCTAACTGTTACACCGGTGTAAGAATATCATGCCCATATATGGGTCAGGATCATTTTACACCAGTGTAAGTTACACTATTAATCTTGTCCGTTGATCCTACTTATATCTAAGGGCTCTAATTTTTTAGTAATGTGAGCCATTGGATACAAGTGGATCAATGATCAAAATTGGGTGTAAGACTTCTAACTCTTACATCAGTGTAAGAATATCATGCCCCTATATATATATATATAAAGCAGATGAACAGTGACTGCACCTAAGGATTGATGCAATCACACACTTTAACTATGTCTTACCGGTAAGACATAGTTATAATATTAAAGTTACTTTTTTTTTCTCGTCATAAATTTAATTATGTCTTACCGGTAAGACATAGTTATAATATTAAAGTTATTTTTTTTCTCTTTTCTTAGTAACTTTTCAAAGACTTATCAGCTAATGTATAAGAGAAAAAAAACTACTTTAATATTATAATTGTGTCTTATTGGTAAGACATAGTTAAACTTATGAAGAGAGAAAAAAAATAACTTTAATAATATAACTATGTCTTACCGATAAGACATAATTAAAGTGTGTGACTGTACCAATCCTTAGGTGAAGTCACATTAAAAATCATGCCTATATATATAGAAAGAGAGAGAAATATTTCTCAAGCAGCTTGAGATATATCTTAAATTACGTCATTTTGTTTATTTATTTTCTTATATTAATTGATTCACCTTTGAATGATTATGATTCCATTTTTCTCTCTTTTTTATCACCATTGATCCATCTTTATACGGTTATGATTTAGTAGTCGGAGATAAAGTTATCTCAGACAGCTTGAGAAACGATAAGTCTATATATATATATATATAATATATATATATATATATATATAATTTCAAAACTATAAGTCCAAAGAAATGTATTTTTTTGCCGTAAAAATAAAGTTATCTAATATAATTTCAAAACTATTTTATTTTGAAAGTTAGGAGAATTAATGAAGGGTACTTTGATAATTTTATTTATTTTTTATTATATAAAATTTTTTTACCCTCAAAACAATATAATTTTAGAATTGTAGAAAATAATTTTATGTTGAGAAATGATAAATCCAATATATATATATGGTCCCTCTTTTCTCATGTTGTAGGAGAATATTTTCTCCTACTATAGACACAAGATGTGATGGGTCTCACCTCCCATTAAAAACAAAAATAAAAAATATTGTTACACATATTTCAATGTATCACTAGTAGGAGAAAAAAACTCCTATAACATAAAAATTCTTTACCTATATATATATACCTAAAATTTATTAAGCTTTATTTAACCCTCTCAATATGGAGCCCATGGAGGTCACCCACATGACCTTGGTTATAGGCACATAAATAAACGGACGATATAGTAACACGTGGAAAAATGTCCCCCATAATGATTCATTCTGAACCGCATATGTACGTGCATATTTTGCGAACAATTTGGACCATTGCTCCATTTATTGACAATTCACTGCGGTACCAAAATTAAAGGAGGGACATTTTTTAGCTTTTAATGATTTAATACATAATTTGTTAAATATTTAAATTACTACTTAACATATATAAATTTTTTAATATTATATATTAATTTATCTTGATTTATATATATATATGCATTGAATAATAATTAAAAACTTATAATGGATAATATTT